ATATTATCCAGGCAGTATCAAAGTTAGTTTTCTGGGCTTACCTTGTGGCTTGGTGGTAAAGAATCTACCTGCCAGTGCAGGAGACATGAGATCCATCTCTGGTCCAGGGACGTTCCACAAGCTGCAGAGCAACTAAGTCTGTGTTCCTCAACTACTAAGCCTGTGCTCTGGAGCCAGGGAGCTGCAGCTACTGAGCACAGGTTAGAAGCCACTGCAGTGAGAAGTCCATGCACCACAACTAGAGAGTAGCCTGTGCTTCCCGTAACTAGAGAAAGCCCACAGATAGCAATGAAGACCCATCATGGCCAAAAAATTTAAAAAAAAAATCAGTTTTCCTCTTCAGCTTGATCTTAGGAACATTTCCCTTTGTGCAGTGAGAGTCAAAGAGGGCTCAGTGGGCATTCACATACCCACCATGTGGAGCTGACAGGTGTTAACATTTTGATGTGTTTTCTTCCTTGTTTCCTTTATATGACCTGATATATGTGTGTGTGTGTGTGTGTGACATTAAATTATTTGCATGTGAGTTGTGACCACCGTGACATTTCATTGCTAAATTGTTTTTTTGCATTTTTTAAAACAAATTATTTTTAACTGGAGGATAATTGCTTTACAATATTGTGTTGATTTCTGCCATACATCAACATGAATCAGTCATATCATTCCTAAATTCTTGAGCATGCCTTCTCTAAGAGTAAGGACATTGTCCCACATAATCCCAATTTTACTGTTACTCTTGAAATGATCAATCTATAGCGTCTGATATGTTGTTCATAGTCATATTTTTCAGATTTTCCCTATAATGTCTTTAAGCCTCTTTTTAAGGAAGTGCTCCCATTACCCATTGGTAGTCAACCCCTCCTTCTTACCTTCCCTCACGGGCACGAATGTCACTTCTCTCTGTGGGAATAACAGCACCTGTGTTGGCTGGAGTCTTTTTCTTGGCCCCCTCCTCATCCGTCACTGCATCCCATCTCCTCTAGTCCATTTGGAGATGAGCCTGACCCTCTGCCTTGGAGTCCTTCAGAGACAGAGTGGAAACAGTGAGTATGTGTGCAGATCGTCGTCAGACAGAGCTGGCGTGTACTTGGGGACATGGGTTGTGTGCTTTGCAGAGGAGAGCAGGCCTGTTTGCACAGGGCAGCTGGTGAAGGTCTGAGCCATGGTGAGCAAGCTGGGTGCACCCCCCAGGAAGTATGCGGCAGGTGTGCTGCCAAGACGGACGCCTGAAGTAGCGTGTGGGTGAGGGCTTGGTGGGGAGGTCTGTCCACAGACTCACAGCAAAACTATTGAGCTGACCATGTGGTTGAGGGCAGAGGAAAACACATATTGTCATAGGCGATACAAGCCAGATGGTCTGATCCTCCCTAACACTCCTTCAAACAAAGAAGCTGGGGATGAGCCACATGTCCCCAGATCCTTTTGTTAAACATAGTCATTTACCTGGCAGTTGCAGGAGGCTGATATGGGGAGGAGGAGGCCCATGAGAACTGAAATTCAAGCACCATCAAGGTTCAGGCAGCATCTGTGGAGGGTGTGAGGAAAAATGCTGTGTGGCAGCATCCAATGGGCCCGTCACTGTGTTGCTCACTAAGCCATCATCTCGGCCATCAACCCTGCCTAGGGAGGAGTCTTGTTCCCAGTTATCTGAGGGTCAGGGAGGCTAGATGGCCTGTGTTGGGTCCCACTGGAGGAGACAGACACCCCTTCCTACCCTCTCTCCAAGCAGGCACGTCAGGGGGCTCTAGGGATGTGACTAATGGCCCTGGTCATAGCTAAAGGCCACACCACAGGGAAAGATCAAAGGATTTAGAGTGAAATTTAGATCAAAGATTTTCTTTTGTTAGATGTGCCAGAGATGGTTGTTTGGAGAACTCTGCTTTTCTCAGTGTCTGTAAATGGGTGGCTGATGGGAGCAGCAATCCTCAGACCCGCCTTCCCCCAATCACTTGGTATATTGTGAAAAATCTGGTGCAGTTATATACAGGAACTCACTCTATAAACCAAGCTCTAGAGACAAATCAGGAAGAACTGGGTGGAGGAGAGGAAGGAGCATAAGATTTGATATCAGAAAATGTCAAGCCCAGATTCTGACCTCTGAGAGCTGTGTGATTTAAGCCTCAGTTTCCACACTTGTAAAATGAAGCTGATGATTCTCAGTTTTCTTTGAAAGACTTTTATGTGGTGCAGATATGTCTGTGAAAGCAGTTGCTAAACAACAACAACAAAGTCCCATTGAAATTCCAGCTTGGTCTGGAAGCCTGAGACCAGGAAAGAATGAGCACCTCTTAGAAAGGAGGATAACTTGGGCTGATGTGGCCACAGCACATTTGAAAAAAAACAAATAAAACAAGGGTATTTGTTGCTTAACCAAAATTCAAAATTAACTGGCATCCTGTGTTTTTTTTCAACTTCAGATTTTATTGCTTTCTCATTCACTGTATCAATTGTTTACCATTTTACAATTTGTCCCATTTATACCCACAAATACATAGAATTGAGATGAACCAGAGATTTCTCGTGAGATTTCAGCCTTTCTCTCAAATGTCCCAAATTATAATTAACTTGACTTGATAGGAAATTCTTTTTGCATTAGAAAGTAATTTACAGGCAAAACAGAAGCATTGTCAATGTTTATTAACTGTGCTAAGTATCTTCTCTTCAGGCTTTTTAATGATTGTTAGTTTTTTAATGCAATAGTTTGTAGAAAAGTGCAAAAGCGTGTTTTTTTTTAATTGAAAGAGTTGATTCACAGTATTTTAGTGGTTTCAAGTATATAGCATAGTGATTCTATATTTTTGCAAATGATACTCCTTTATAAGTTATTATAAGGTAATGGCTATAGTTCCCTGTACTATATAATACATCTTTGATACTTATCTATTTTATATGTAGTGGTTTGTGTTTGTTACCAACCACATAACCCTAATTTGTCCCCTCCACTTCCCTCTCCCCTTTGGTAGCTACTAGTTTATCTTCTGTGTCCATGACTCTGTTTCTGTTTTGCACATACACTCATTTGTGTTATCTTCTAGATTCCACATATAAGTGATGCCATGTAGTATTTGTCTTTCTCTGTCTGACTTATTTCATGCAGCACAATATTCTGTAGGTCCACCTACATTTCTGCCAATGTCAAAATTCCATCCTTTTTATAGCTGAATAATATTTCATTTTGGGTGTGTGTACATTTGGCTGATCTGTACTTGATGGGCACTTGGGATACTAAGATGTCTTGGCTATTGTAAATAGTGCAAGCCTGAATCGTTTTTATCTTTAGGATAAAACTGTCCTCTGCTAGGGGAAGAAGATCTTGCTGGATTATCAATGTTCCAAATATACTACTTATGTGTGTGGGCTGTTGTAACTGGATCATCTTTCACAAACTTTTGATTTTCAATAACTATTTCACTCTGAGTCACTGTCAGAGTTTATATACTCTTATGCTTTCATTCTGAAATTTCTGAAAGGATTTGTTCTGTGAATTCAGCACTGTGCCTATGAACATCCAAAAACAATGTCGTTTTGTCTGAGATTTCTGTTCCATATGTGGTAGAGGTGAATGGAGAGTCCAGACCTACTCATATCAGCGTGTGAAGAAGATTCCCATGTGCCTTCTCCTTCTCCTCTTTTCATATCTGCTGGGGTACTTTCTTCTGAGGTCTTGCTCTTAACTTGTCATGGTGTTTTTATTTGCTATTTAATGTCATTCAGGATGAGTCTCGTCTTAGCTCAGGCTGTCATAACAAATACCACGGACTTGATGGCTTAAACAACAGAAACTTATTTCTCACAGTACTCAAGGCTGGGAGGTCCAAGATTGAGGTGGGATTCTGGTGCCGGCTTTCTCCCTGGCTTGCCAATGGCCACTTTCTTGCTGTGTCCTCCCATGGTGCAGAGAGAGCACAGATTCTCTGGTGTCTGTTCTTAAAAGACATGAATCCCTTCCTGAGGGCTCGACCTTGTCTAAACCAAGTTACCCACAAAGTATGCATCTCCAAATACCATCATACTGTAGCTTGGACTGCAACATATGAATGTTTTGTAGGACACGATTCATCCACACTACCCTGTGAGGGCGCGGGAGAGCCAGTGATTGGTATAGCCTGTGCTTACTATGAGATGTCTCCCAGCTGCCACCTCTTCCTCCTCCCTCCTCTGTGATGGAGGTGAGAGATTGTTGTCCATAGTCATCCCAAATTTAAGCTGTCACCTCTACTTGGGATATGTAACAGAAAACAGGCACTAGATAGCACCCGGCAAACACATATTATGGCATTTTGTAGTTACATGTGGTGAGGCCTGAGGTGTATGTTACATTGAAAAGAACAAAGCATGCCTTGTGTTAAAGATTCCTAGACATAATCTTACATTTACTATTGTTAAATAGGAGGAAGTATTAGAAACCTTGGGAGGCTCAGAGGTTGGGGTTATCTGGGCTCATGGGGGTGTGGCAAGTAGCCAAGAAGACCCAGAGTACTTTCCACAGAGAAAGTCTGTTTTCCTCTTTTTATCCAGAGCCTCCAGCTAGCCAGCTCTTTCAATTACATGAAAGGAAAGGTGCCTGATAAATTACTTCTGTGTGAGTAGGTTGCTTCTCTTTCAGGATGTGGTCCAGTTGGTTTTAGAAGTGCATATTTTCTTTATGTATTTTCTCACCTGAATTTTGAGAGTTTGGTGTGCTGGCCACAGCATAGATTCTGGAGTGAATGGCACTAGGTTTGTGTCCCAGCTTTGCCACTCTCTAGCTATGTGGTCATAGACACATTTCTGAGCCTGTTTCCTCCCCAGAGAAAGGAGACTAATTCCACCCATATCGTGAGCAAGCAGTGAGATGTGGAGGAGCTCATGTTTGTCAAGAGCCTAGCACTTTGCCTGAGACAAATTCAATGCTTGGTGGACGTTTGTTCACCTCCCCCCTTTCTCCCTATATCCTATTTTATATACAAATGTGTAAAAAACTATTGGACAGAACAAGGCGATGAGTGAAAAATTGATGTTTATTTATCCTGCCTTTGACAGGAGCTAGTTTCCATTTCGGTAGTAAGGTGATATTCTTCCCCTGAGGTGCCTTGGGCAGGGTCCTCAGTGGGTTGAGGTGCAGTGTCACTGCACAGGTGGCAAAGGTGGCCGAGGTGTTTCCTAAATGCCTTGTCAAGAAACACGTAAAGGAAAGGGTTGATGCAGCAGTGGGTGGTGGCGATGATTCTCGTGATCTGAATGGTTTTGTTCAAGTTGTAACTATTCCCACAGTCATGCAGGGAGAGCTGTTCGTTGAAAGCAGACAGGAAAAGTGCAATATTGTAGGGTCCCCACATCAGAAGGAAAACTGCTGTTATTGTGGAAACAAGCTTGCAAAGGTCATAGTTCCTCTGCCTGAACTGGCGTGTTCTCCCCATTCGCATGCAGCAATATATAAGAGCAAACAGTGGCAAAAGAAATCCCAAAATGTTCATCTTTAAGGTCAGAAAGTGCTTCCAGGATGTCTCATCAGCTGGTAAGAAGTGAAGTCCAATAAAGAAGCACTTGTATTTCTGGCTTTCCATCTGAGGTTTGTAAAAAACAAGTTCAGGCAAAGTGACCAGAATGGCTGTGACCCACACTAGAGCACTTATGAAGATTCTGCTAGCCATAGGCCTGCAGTCCAAGAAACACCTTCTCCCACGGAAAAACTCCTGGTATCTTTGCACAGTCAGAAGGACATTGAACAAGGCCTCACTGTACAGGCCTACGGAGTAGAGCAGCAGGAGAATTTTACACAGGGGGTCATCAAAGCCCTCCCCACGAGAGGCTGCGTAAACCCAGAATGGCAGAGTGAGCAAGAAACACAAGTTAGAAAGTGCCAAGTTGAAGAAACAGGTATTTTCTGCTTGCTTGGATCGTTTATATTTTACCAGGATAAACACAACCAAGATATTGTCCAGGAGGCCAGCCACGAACACTGTAGTGTAGAGGTAAGGCACCAGCTGCGCTGAGAGAATCTTGGGGTCGTATGGGGTGCATAGTTCTATTTCGTTGTCACTCAGATCATCCTCTATGAGGACATCATAGTCATCCTCTGGTGCTGACGTGTAATTAGCCATCTTCAGGCTGCCCTGGGGAGAAATGAAAGGTTATTGTCCCTTCATGCAGCTGTGTGGTCCTGGATGAAACAGCACACAGGACTAGAACCCCTGCAGCCACACTCGTCCTTTTCTGGTGTTTATTTTAGCCAGAGCAGGTCTACAACTCAAAAGATTTAAAATAAACATTTCTTTAACATGCCCCTGCATCCTGAGCACAGCTGCTATAATTCATCCCTTCATTAAGCACTTAGGTGTTTAGTAGTATGCCAGCTAGCACAGGGAGACAAAAGTAAATATTATTCTACTTCATACAACTTCATTCTCTTGGTAGAAACAAGACTTGCCTACTTGAAGCTATATAAGAAAAAACACAATTAAAGAGAACTAAGTACCAGGGTTTAGTTTCACAAAATTGGTGTCAGTCACAGTCCCTATGTGTTTAAAAAGTTTGCTCACCCTCTGTAAACAGCTTCCTGTGATAGGCAGAGAAGTCTGAGTTCTTCTCTCGAAGGATATAAATAAATGTTCGCAAAAGTGAAACCACCTAAGTATCAAATGGACACAACTGGTTAAATACGTCGATGACTTACCACTGACTGAGTTCCTGGGAGGGGAGGGAACAGCCTCCTGACCTACCATCCGAGTTGCTGTGGGAGCCTGTGGGAGCCGTCTGGCCAGATGAAAGACTAACTTCTTTCTGAATAGCCCGCCCCTGACCCTTTGGGGCAAGAGAAACCACTGTTTATCCCCCTGGTGGCTGTGTCCCACCAGTCACAGATCTCGGGGACTAAGCAAAATAAAGCAACTTGAAAGCTCCCACTAACCCCTAGAGAGTTTCTCAAGCTGCAAAGAGAAACCGGGAAGTTGTTTGCTCCTGCTGCCGCTCTCCCCACCCTCACCCCGCACCCCGCCTTTGATTTCCCTGTGGCCATCCTGCTGGCTGCCTCAGATAAGGAACTAAGTTATTGCTGCTTCTCAGTGATACTGAAGGAGGGATAGAAAGTGCTCTGACTTGCAACTCTGAGCAGGTAGTGGGTAGCAGCAGAGAAGTGTCACACGCAGTGACTGGCGGTGACTGTGCGTCCAGACCCGGGGGCTGACGCTCCCCTGTAGCATTTCATCAGTATTGGCATATGGGGCAGTCTTCGAGAACTTGTAGTGAGCAACAGGGCTTTCCTCATAGCTCAGCTGGTAAAGAATCCATCTGCAGTGTGGGAGACCTGGCTTTGATCCCTGGGCTGGGAAGATCCCCTGGAGAAGAGAACAGCCACCCACTCCAGTAATCTGGCCTGCAGAATTCTGTGGACTGTATAGTCCATGGGGTTGCAAAGAGTCGGACATGACTGAGTGACTTTCTTTATTCTTTTTGAGAGACATTTTTTCTGTGTCAGACATTTGGCTGAAGAATGGGGCCCCAAGGGAGGATTTGGGGACAGTGGAAGCCACAGAATGATGTCATTTGGGAAGAGAGTGGGTGCAGAGATGAGACCTTAGTACCAGTGAGCCTGGGGGAAATCGATGTGATGGAACCAAGGAGTTAGGAAGGATGTTAGGAGCTGACCCTGCTCCTATAAGAAGGGCCTAGCACAAGAAAATTCCATGGTGAGGACACAGAGGTTCTGTCAAGATGCTGTGCAGAGAATGTGAGGGGTACAAGTTCAACCCTAGACTGAGACTGGTGTGGGTGACTTTTAAAGCCAGAGAGAAAGGAAGCTGAGAGTCCAAATTTGAAGGGAGATGGGGGCGGTTGGGAAGAAAGATGAACTGAGAAAAATAACTTGAAATAGCTGGAAAATCTGTATGAACTCTTGGATCAACTCTTTGTACCTGTGACGGACCTAGTTTGGGGACCAGTCTTACATGTTGGCTTTGTGTTCATTTCACTGGTTAAAAGACTTCTGTTAATGCCAAAGATGTGTTTGAGGTGATAGTCGATGCAGAATGTGGACCTGTCAAAGTAGAAATATAACTGAGGGAACTATTAAGGGAAAGGAAAAATAAACAATAAAGGCCTGGACAAATATGTGACAAGCATTAAATTTAACCCAGAGGGAAACTCGTGATGTTCCTCTGTATGAAGGGGTTGGAAGGGGTTGGGAGAGATTGGTGCTGCTGGGAACTTGGGCTGTGAATGTTTCCCAGCAAGTCTTCCCCCATCACCCCCCAGTATGGCTTCTGTGAGTCAGTGAGGGTCACCGTGCCCTGGGGGTTCTGCCCCCTGCAGCTGGGCTATTTGGAGACACATCAGTCCCCCCACAACTTTGACTAAGTGATGGTGCCTCATGGTGCTTTATTGCCTGATGCTCACTGGTCAGTCCCTGAGAGGGGAATGAGGGTCAAGTCAAACTTTGAAACTTAAAAAAACCCATGAACATACACACTGCACATTGTGAGGTTAAGTGGAGGAAAATGGCAGCAAGCAGGTACTTCATCTGTATCACAGAATCATGTGAAATTTGAAGTTTCCTAGAGAAAAGCATTGTTCGGTAAATTCCAGATCACCCTAACTTCCTGAGAGTCAAATGGACTTCACTTTTGGAATTATTTTATTTTGGCTGAATTCCCAGAATTCTGCTTATTTACACCCAGACCTTGGAGTTCTTTTTTTTTTAATTGAGATATAATCGACAAAAAGCATTCTAGAAGTTTAAGGTGTGCCATACTGATACATTTATATTGCAATATGATTGCCATGGTAGTGTTAGCTAACAAAATTACCAATTTTTTATGTGGTGAAAACAATTAAGTTCTATTTTCTAGCAAATTTAATGTTTATAATACAGTTTGGTTGTCTCTAATCACTATACTGTATATTAGATCTCCAAGACCACAGGATTCTTGAAAATTGAAAATTAGTAGGAGGGAGTGGTTTAAAAGTCTGAAGTTGAAGCAGGAGGAAGGTTTTATTTACCATTTTAGTATCTGGAACTGTAATAGGGTTGTCATTATTGGTGAAACTTCAGTACATTCTGAGGTTTGTGAGCTGCATGCTCAATTAAAAAAAAAAAAGAACTCCAAGGTCTGGGTGTAAATAAGCAGAATTCTGGGAATCAAGCCAAAATAAAATAATTCCAAAAGTGAAGTCCATTTGAATATCAGGAAGTTAGGGTGATCCTTACCAAACAATGCTTTTCTCTAGGAATCTTCAAATTTCACATGATTCTGTGATACATGTAATTAAATCCCAGTTTTTTAGACAATTGAAGTAGTTGATTTACAATATTATATTAGTTTCAGGTGTATAACATAGTGATTCAGTATGTTATACATTATACTCCATTTAAAGTTATTCTTTAGAAGGACTGATGCTGAAGCTGAACCTCCAATACTTCAGCTGCCTGAGGCGAAGAGCCGACTCATTGGAAAGGACGTTGATGCCGGGAAAGATTGAGGGCAGGAGGAGAAGGGGACAACAGAGGATGAGATGGTTGGATGGCATCACCAACTCAATGGACATGGGTTTGGGCAAACTCTTGGAGATAGTGAAGGACAGGGAGTCCTGGTATGCTGCCGTCCTTGGGGTTGCAAAGAGTTGGACGTGACTTAGTGACTAAATAACAGCAAAATTATTGCAAAATAATGACTATATTTCCCTGTGTTGTACAATATATCAATGTTGCTTATTTATTTTATACATAATAGTTTGTATCTTTTCATCCTTTACCCCTCTCTTGGCCCTTCCCTGAATCTTCCCTCTCCCCACAGGTAACCACTAGTTTGTTCTCTACATCTGTGAGGCTCTTTTTGTTTTGTTATATTTGTGAGTTTGCTTTTTGAATTTAGATTCCACGTATAAGTGATAACGTAGTGTTTGTTTTCCTATGATTTATTTAACTAAGCATAATACTATGTCCATCCATGTTGTTGTGAATGGCAAAATTTCATTCATTTTTATGACTGAGTAATATTCCATTGTACATGTATGCACCACACCTTCCTTATCCATTCATCTGTTTATGGGCATTTAGGTTTCTTCCATATCTTGGCTAATGTAAATAATGCTGTGAAAGTTGGGGTCCTTATATCTTTGAAATTAGGGGTTTCATTTTTTTCAGATATATACCCAGGAGTGTAGTTGCTGGGTCATCTGGAAGTTTTATTTTTAGTTTTTTGAAGAACCTCTATACTGTTTTCCATAGTGGCTGTACCAATTTACATTCCTACCAACAGTGTACGAGGGTTCCCTTTTCTCTACATCCTCATCAACATTAGTTATTTGTGGCCTTTTTGATAATAGCTATTTTAACAGATATGAGGTGATAATACCATTGTGGGTTTGATTTGCATTTCTCTGATGATTAATGATGTTGAACATTTTTTCATGTGTCTGTTGGCCATCTGTATGTTTTTAGAAAAGTGTTTATTCAAGTTCAGTCCCAGTTTCAGTATAGGAGGCTATCATATTATAACTCTTATTCCCCCCATAACATATAGATCATTCATTTATTCAACAAATGTTTATAAAATGCCTGGCATGTGCCCAGCACTGTTCAGTAGACAAACATCCTGACCTTCGTGGAGCTTCCATTATAGACAAAAACAAAATAAGTATGTAAGTTGAAGGTAGTAGGAAAGAAGTTCTGAGGCAAAAAGTAAAGCTGGGAAGGAGACGAAGGGGCCAGGGTTGTTTGGGGGTTCACATTTTATGTAGAATAGTCAGAGAAAGCCTTGCTGACAAGACAGTCTCTGATGAGATGAAACAGCAAATGATCAGGTCCAATAATTTATACTCATCTCATTTTTTTCCTGTTACTGAGTTCTTGTATCAGGGAGATTAGAAAACACACTGGAAGACACACTTAGCAATAATTTTACAGGAGATGCAGAAATATTCTTCATGTTACATTGGTTTTCAATTAAAAAAAAAAAGCTGAGGATGTAGTGCACCTGTTAGTAATTTATTGCCTTTTCTTCCTTCTTTCGCTTTGTGATCCTCAAGCTGAACTCTGTAAACATTTGTCCTTTGCCAGCTGGTATAGAAGGCGCTGAGAATCACAGGAAGAGGCAGGGGCTTCTCA